GCCCTGAAGGAGATGTTCTCCCCTGCCACACTGTAGGGTCGCTTTTGTCTCCCATCTACATCTCCCTCCCATCCCCAACCCTTCCTTCCTCCGCCTCCCCTCACCTCCCAATAAATAAAACAATTTTTTTCTTCAAAAAACAGGCAACTTTTATTTGTACTTACAATAGGGAAGAAGAATGGGCAGTGGGAGGGGCCTCTCAACTGGGAGGGGGAGGAGGAAGCAGCTCTCAACTGGGACGGGGAGCTATTGCTGGGAGGGGCAGCTCGTGCCAGTGCCTCCGTGGGTGCAGAGGCCTTGCTGTCCTTCAGGACAGGGATGTGGGCAGGACGGGGTGCAGAAGGTGGGGACATGGCAGTGGCTGGAGGGGCAGCTGAAGGAACAGTAGGAGGGGCAAAGGAGGAGCAGCTGGAGGGGCAGCAGGAGGGAGCATGGGGGGCATGGCAGGGGCAGGGTGGTAATTACGTCGCACATCCAGTCACACCACTGCAGGAACTGCCCCCAGGCCTGCTGTCGCCACTTCAGGTCAGCCTCAATCTTTCGGCTGACTGCTGCCTCAATCCTTTTGACAGCCTGGACATGCCGCCGGAGGAGCCGGTCCCGCTGCCTGGCCCACTGGACTGGTGCCTGGGTGGTTGATGGTGCCACTGCCGCAGGGCTGGAGAGTCCCTTGCTCCTGGGTGGTCCTGCTGCAGAGAACACAGAAAATGATGAGGCAGTCAGGCAGCCCTGCCCACACTGTCCCTGAGCCCCATGCCCTCCGCCCTAGCCCCAGGCGACACCACACTACTGTGGCTTGGGCCTAATCGGTCCCCATGTTAGCATACAGGACTCCTTGGAGTAAAGTGATCCTCCATGGATTGTAACCCTTGGGAGACATCACTGTGAATGAAGACCCCCCTTGTCTATGTCCTGGCCACTTGGCATGTGGTGTGTCAACCTGTGGAACTCCTTGCCAGGAGAGGCTGTGAAGGCTAGGACTATAACAGGGTTGGAAAAAAAGAGCTTGATACATTCATGGAGGTGAGGTCTATAACAGGCTACTAGCTAAGGGGTAAGGAATGGTGTCCCTGGCCCCTGTTTATCAAAGGCCAGAGATGGATGGCAGGAGACAAATCACTTGATCATTGTCTTCAGTCCACCCCCTCTGGGGCACCTAGCACTGGCCCCTGTCAGCAGACAGGTTACTGGGCTAGATGGACCTTTGGTCTGACCCAGTACGGCCGTTCTTATGTGTGTCTGCATTACACTGTGCACACTCCCTCCCCAGGGTAGAGCACATGGCTTCGACTCTTGTCACTGGCTGTGAGCAACACACCATTGATGCTGAAGGCATGTTTCCATATGCATCCCCACATTGCATGGGAGCAAGTACGACAGATGAGGTCTGGGTTCTCGGACTTCGGAACCCTGTCAATTGATGTTCTTGGAGATGGAATCAAGGTGATTGGGGAGTGCACCGTCCTTTCAGCAAAACTCAAGTGGCCATAGGCCCAGGCTGACCGCTTCCCCTCCTGCTAGCCCTCACACAAGTAGCCCAGGGAAGTGTGTGTCCGCAGTGAGGGTCTTCCTTTGGGAGCAGCCAAGGGGCTTCGTGGGGGCCGTGCTGACAGGGATGGCTCGTTGCAGTTTTCCCAGGAGCAGCTGCTGTGTCGTGTGGCCAGGCATGGCTGCGTGCTGTCTGTGTGCGGCACCCTTTGGGAGGTGTGGGGTCTGGCCTGAGCTCTTGGCCCCTCCCCCCCTCGGCCAGGACAAGTGTGAGCAGCAGGGTCCCAGGTGTGTCCTGGAGCTGCTTGCTGCGTCCACATGCCACACAGTCAGGCTGCACGAGGTTGCACGTGCTGTGTACTGCTACACAGCGTGCAGCTCGAACTGCCTGAATGACGCTCCCTCCCACCCCCTCTATCCCCAGGCACTACCCCCACCTTGCGAGTGAGAAGTGCAAGCAACACTCACCGGAGGATCCTTCACCAGCCTTGGATGAAGCCCGGGAGACATCCTGGCTCCTGGGCACTGGCTCCAGGTGGAGGGTGATGGTGCTGCTGTAGTCGTCACCCTCATCCTCTGACTCAGATCTGGTGGGCAGGTCACCCTCCTCCTCCGGCTCGGCTGGCCTGGTGGCAGGAGGGCGCAGGCCAGTGTCGACGGGCACCGACGGTCCTTCCATGGCCGTGTCCCCCAGGATGGCGTGGAGGCGGTCGTAGTGGGGGCAGGTGTCGGCTCCTGCCCCCTGGTCCTCGCTGGCCCGGACATAGCCCAAGTGCAGCTCCTTCACCTTAGCCCAGACCTGTTCAAGGGTCCGGGCTGGATGTCCCTGCTGGGAGAGCGCCTGGGCCACGTGGCTAAAAATGTCCGCATTCCGGCAACGGGTACGGGGGTCATGGAGGGCTTCTTCCTCGGCCCACAGATCAAGGAGGGCCTCGACCTCTGCCTGGGACCAGCAATGGGCATGCCGCTTTGTGCCCCTCCGGGTCTCCTAGGAGCCCTGAGGTGGCTGCTGGGAGGAGGCTGCAGGCTCTCAGGGTGCCTGTGGAACTGACATCTGTGGCAGGCTCCTGAGTGCAGCTGTTGCGTGCTGGAGCTGCTGACTGTGCTGCTGTGGCCGTGCAGACTCTGCAAGCTGTGTGTGACTTTAAGGGGGGGGGGTCCAGTAACCAGGAAGTAAGAAGCTGTGAGTGCAGGTACGGTGCGTCCAAGCAGCCACTTGGCATTTTTCCCATGCTGTCCTTTCATGAGAGACCTTTGGCTACTTGCCATTTAACCCGCTGCCTTAATGTCTTGACCCTGTAAGCTTGTCTGGCCATTAAGGGACCATCCTGCTTGTAATCTTAAAGCATGTCTCTACAACTGAGGATTGATGCTGCAGCAAATGATCCACTGGGGGTTGATTTCGCAGGTCTAGTAAAGACATGCTAAATTCACTTCAGATCATTTTGTTGATTCTGGCACTCCACCAGAACAAGAAGCTTAAGAGAAGTTGAGAGGAGAGTTTCTGCCATCGACCCAGCGCAGGGTAGACACCGTAGTAAGTGGACCTAAGCTATTTTGACTCCAGCTATATTATTTACACAGATGGATTTCAGTAACTTGGGTCAACTTAACCTGCCCTGAGGAGGCATGTTCTGGCATTCTGGACTTGGTAGTTTTTTTTCAGAGTTATCATCTACAAGGATGGGACGCTGACTCTTAGACAATCAAAAAAGATGATAGAATTCATTTGCTACAGATGCAGCTAGTTGAGACTCCAATTTTAAGCCATGGAGTCTAAAAGTAACCCCAAACTGCAGAATGTCCTCGTGTGTGTAGATCAGCATAATCTGTCTAATAAACTGTTTATTCATCCAGTTTTTCCTCATTAGTGTACTGAACTTGCCTAGATGCTGGGATAATTGGAAGACGATGAAGGTATAGTAGGTTGTGAATGACAGAATTGTATTCAGTGAATATTGTTGCCAGTTGAAATCTTACAATTTCCAAACACCTGCATCTTCCAGATGTGAATGATCTTTGGGGAAAAAAGATTAAAATTGTTTTGCAGTGAATGGTACTTGATTCTGCTATGGATTTCAAACATTATTGTTTGAAGCTGTTCACCACCTTGAACCGTTCTTTTCAGAATGTCTTTGGCAATGGCTGTTAAGATGGAGAGCAACGATCTCTTGGCCCGTAATTTGTTTTAGCATAGGCCTGTAGAAATTTGTTCTGTTAGACTATTTCAGCCCAAATTTCTTGCCATTCCTGCCCTTGTTTGTCTACACTTTTGCACAAGGAATGCAGTGCAATGGGGAGGAACAGACTTTTGGGGAATCATTGTGTTTATGATCATGACATACAAGCTATGCAAACTCCATGATCTACAGTATTTGTGAAGCATTGTCCTTGAGTCGTGTTATGGAACATGATGGGGTAAGCGAGCCTTTAGGACCAATTGTGGTTGAGTGGCACTCATATTGCATAAGAAGTAGGGAGAGTCCTGACCATTACTTGCATGAGGTGAAGATGTGGCCAAAATGGATGACACTTTATTGTAACCGGGATTGCCTAGTTTTATTTCTGAATAGATTTAAATTGGTGATCTTGTAATCTTGGTTAGTTTTGTTTGGAAAAATTGCTTCTTCATACTTGAACGTAATAATACCAATTGGGGGACCTATGTATCTCAAATCTTAACTATATTATTAATACCTTAGGGTATGTCTACACTACCCCGCTAGTTCGAACTAGCGGGGTAGTGTAGACATACCCCTAGTGCCTCTCACATTTGGGCTCTGTTCACTGGTGGAGCCTGCATGTCTTACTGTAATAAATACAACAGTAGAAATATAATAAAAACAATTCCAGGAGGAGGGAAAATGGCTGTTTGGAATGTTTGCCAACGTACAGCTGTGGCATTATCATCATATTGGAATGAAACAAAAACCAAACAAACAGACAAACAAGATTGGATGCTTGCAAACACAAGCCAGAGGAACACAGCTGATCCTTTAAAACTGGCATCTCCATTCTTTGTCTTTCAGAAATCCCTGCTTATGAATGATTGGACAGATGAGGTTTCACCCCAGAATCTCATTGACATGCTATGAGCCGCAAGAAAGGCCATGAGTCAAATTCCATCCCTGATTACATCAATATAAATTAGATTTAATATTGTTATGCTCTTACAAATAACAGGTCTCTGGTCTGCCAGGTACAATAACTTATGCAATTCCCACTTAGTCTGTTACAAAATGGGACAACTTAGAACAGCCCTTAAGCTGTTCCAACTTGTGCTGGGGTCAAAACATGTTCTAGCATCCAGAGGAAAGGAAAGGTGCTATACAGCTATCTTTGCTCCCATCCCCTCACCCCACCCCATATGTGCTGGATCAAATATTGCTTAGGTAAACCTGGGGACTGAGTCCAATATCTTTGTAGGAAAACCAGAAAGTATTAGTGCTGATATTGGAAAGTATGATATTAAAATTGAGTTAATATATATTATTCATGTCTTAGCCACTAACCTTTTACTTTCAAAGTAATGTACTTGTAATCAGCTCCTCTGTAGTCAATGAGACAGCGGTAAGACCCTGCATCCATGAGCTTTACATTGGTGATTTGAAGCACAGAATATCCCAAATTCAATTTATCATGTAACAGTGTTGCTCTTCCCCTATAGTCGCTGTGCTGGGATTTAAGATCTTCTTCCCCCTTCTGAAGAGTGTAAACTTCTTTTGATTTTTGATCTTGTAATTCTTTTTTTGCCCAACTGACTCTTAAATCTTTAAGATTTAACTGGCCATCCACTGGAAATCTGCATTCCATTGTCACGTTACTCCCATATTTTGCAATGTACAGTTGCTGAGGAACTTCAACTGTGAAAAAAGCTAAGATAGACAAAATCTGAGAAAATTCTATGATTATCAAATACAAAGAGCAAGACACAAGCTGAGGTCCTTTATGGAAATGCTAAGCCCATTTGTTTTGTTCTTCAGACCAGTGTGAATCCAGTGTAACTCCTTTAAAATTAATAGCTTTATTCTGGATACACACATATGCAAAGAAACACAACATTTTGCCCATTGTAAGTACACACTCCTGGATTAATTTTTAGATCAGAGGCATCACAAAATACAGCCTTCTATCATCACTACAGTTCTGATTCTGCTGCACTTACTGCTGTGGGGTAGCACAAATATTCCATGAATAATCCCAATGAATCTCACCAGTGGAATTTCTTGGCGATCAAGTTACAGGCTTGTGTGAGAATGGATGGCAAAACAATTCCTTTAGGTAGCTGCCAAGTGTAAATTTCTTGACATTTGATCCATACAGTCACATGAGCCTGATATACTTATTGCCGTATATTGTTTACCTCTTAATACTTCAGTTGATGCATAATGTTATTTCTATTATAAAAGTCAATGTATCTTATTTTTATTTTATTTGTAACACAACCTGTACAATACGATTGATTTAACGCAGTAGTGCTATCAAACATTAATAGTGATCATCAAGAGAAATCCAGATAACTACTCATGTATCCTCAATTTTTGTGGCATTAATTAATGAAATATCAATAGGAAAAAGTAACATTTTTAGCAGTTTGATTGTTGCTTCATTTGTAGCAATTGTCGTCTTGGAGGAATGATACATAATGCTTTCAAATTATTCTTTTTTATTTATATTGTTTATGATCTCAGGGCTTCAATTGCACCTTGTAGG